TTTACCCAGAGAAATGAAAATTTATGTTTACACAAAAACCTTTACATGAAGTTCATCACAGTTTTACTCACAATAGTTAAAAAGTGGAAATAGCCCAGATGTCTCTCAACGGGGAATGGGTAAGCAAACTGTGGTACATTCACACCGTGGAATCCTATTCAGCAATAAAAAGGAACAGACGATAGACACACTTTACAACTTGGATGGATCTCAGGAGAATTATGCTGAGTGAAAGAAATCCATTCCTAAAGGTAGTGTACTATATGATTCCATTTCTATGACATTTAGGAAATTATAATAGTGTTTGACAGAGTTTAGGGATGTGGGATCAGGAAGAAGGTGGGTGTGGCTATAAAGGCTAACATGAGGGAAACGTGTGGTGATGAAACAGTTTTTGATCTTGTTTGTGGTGACAGAACACCTACACTGCTGGTAAAAGTGCATGGAATTATATATATATAAGTATTATGCCCAAGTGTTCTAACACACAAATGAGTGCATGTAAAATGGCGAAACTGTGGTAAGCTCAGTGGATTGTACCAATGTCCATTTCTGAGTTTCGATACTGTACTAAAGTAATACAAGGTGTTATCATTAGGAGAAGGTGAGTGATGGGTATACATGACCTCTCTACACATTTTTTTGCAACTTTTGGTAAATCAATAATTATTTCAAAATAAAAAAGTTAAAAAAACAACACAGGAGTTGTGGGGAAAATAGTCTTCGGTACAGAACCTAAGAACCTAATAAAAATGTTAACACAGTTTTAGACCTGTTAAATGAGTAAGAAATCCATAATTATTGGAGTAAATATGGTACTTTACTTGCTAAATACCTTATATTTGTTTATAGAAGTGAACATCAGAACGGTCACAACTTGTGAGTACTGAAGTGGTGGAGAGAAGGTTATCAGGAGGCAAAGCTTGGATTTTAGGGTTGTCCAGGGATGGAGTCCTTACTCTATAATTTTCAAGCACTGTGTAGGTCGGATATAAATGCTAGAGACTGCCAGGGATGATGTGGGAGATGGGACTTTTTGGTCCTGGCCCCACTAACTCATGGTTGGGTCAGGGGAAGAGCAATCCAAGACACACAACATACAATGTGCAATGTTACTCTTTAATATAAAGATACACAAGGATCATGTGTGGGAAAAATATAAAACAACGGGCAGGCCTACACGGTAAACTTTGGCTTCCTGATTAGCCGGACTGCAAGCTTAGTCATGGATATGGCTTCAGTTAAGAGAAGAGAGGTGACAAATATGATGAGGATGAAACTGACATCTAAAGGCTCATTTGCAGAGTTTTCTTCTCAAGATCCCAGGTCAGTGGATGAGGGTCACATCTGGAATTTTGCCCTTGGACTGAAGAAAGTAAAGAGAAAGAATTGGCATGTCAGCAGAGCCAGCAGCCGTGAGTGTCAACCCCAGGGCACCTGACTTCTGTCCACCTTCACCTTCCTGAAACCCTAGAGGTCTATTTCTTCTTATCTCTGAATTCTCAGAATTCACTTTTTGATGAGTAAAGCAATTTTTAGCTCTGGTATAGTCTAGTCATTGTACTGAAAGCGCCTCTAGTGGGGGAGGATAGATGACCTCCCTTAGGACCAAACTGGAGACACTTGACCACACAACTTCACTGCTACATCTATGCTACAAGAGCAAGCCTTCAAGTTTACCAACATGTATGTACCAGAATGAGCAGATGCCACTGCATGTAATGCTGAAAAAGAGGCGAAAAGCTAAATGCCTATCAATAATAGCTTATGGCTTCCTGGAATTCAATTGTTTAATATATTGATCTTAGAAAGAATAATGTAGCTTCACATATACTGAGAAGAAACGATGCTGGCACTAATAATAAAAGAAGTTTCAAAACAGTATATAAGATAGGATACCTGTATTTTACAATACATGGAAATGTATTAGTATGAAATTAGGGTATTTCTCACAAGTAAACGTTTGTAAGGAAAAATAGATTTAAAATAGTTACCTGAAAATTCCCATTAATCACTCCTCTACTCCTCCCAGCTCCCTCCTATCCCCATGCAACCCCAGCACTCACTTCTGAGACCACTAGCGGTTCACCTCAGATGGGGCGGAAGATGCCATCATGATGTCCTGCTGCTGCTGGGAGAGGGGGTGCATGGAGCTGGAGGTGGGTGTAGGCAGTGGGATGGAGAACACACTCCGGGTCTCACTGGGGTCGGCATCCCTCACAAACAGCTCGTCATTCACGATGCACAGACTGAAGGAAAAATGGGCCCTCAGACAACTGATGGATGCACACCCACACCCCCAATACTGACTCTGCTCCCACTGGCACTCAGCAACCAAATTCCTTCCACGTCCCTCCTGTGTCTGTCTCCCAGGTTCCTTGACTGGTACCTCTGCCCCTCCCTACAGAGCCCACCTTTGGAGAGACTGTCTACCACCTTCACTTGATTTACAGGTTTATCCCCAACCCAGGGGCAATTTCGCGTTTACCCTTTACCACAGTGCAAGGGGTGGGCAGTCTGATCCCCATTCTCAGAAGAAGACACTGAGTCACACAGAGGTCATGTGACTTGACCAAGGTCACACAGCAAGTGAGTGTTGGGTCAAGGAGTGAACGCATAGGCCGATTCCAGGCCCATACTCTTCTTAACCACTAAGCTACACTGCTCCTGGGATCCCCCTGCTGGCTTTCCACAATACTGAGTAAACCTAAGGTCTTTGCCACCGCATTCCCATGCTCCTGAGCCCAGGCGGGGATGAGCATTCCCACCCACAACAGGGCTCTCACCTGGCGTAGCCGGCAGGGGTAGCGATGAAGGTCCGGGTGAAGGCACGCACACAGCCCTGAGAACTTCCTTCCACTTCAACAGCAAACAAATTACAGTACCCCTTACAGCTGCCCGTGCTGTACACGCTCACACAGCGATCCCCAGTCAGGCTGTGACTGGACACTCTTACTGAGAGGGCAGTTGTTCACAGGGGCCAAGGTGTTGGGTATGGGGAGGGCAACTGTAGGAGCAGTCTGCGCCCAGTGACAGGGCCCCTGACGACCACTACACAAGTTCACGGGATGCATTTTTCACAGGCGCCCAAGAGGTGGATACTACTACCCCATTTTGCAAATGAGGAAATCGAGAGGTTGAGTAATGGCCCAAGTTCTCAGAGTAAGAATCTGGGATGAGAGCCACCAAAATCCACAGCCTGTGCCCCCAATGCCCAGGGTGTGCAGGGCAGACAGGCATGGACACAGCTCAGACCGGGGTTGTCTGTAGGAAGCCTGAGGGCAGGAGAACACAGTGGGGAAGGGGAGGCGAGGGGTAGGGGAGGGGAGGGGAGGGAAGGGAACGGAAGGGGAAAGAAAGCGAAGGGAAGGGAAGGGGTCAGGGAAGGTGAGTGGTTCTGGGTGTGAGCCTGGCTAGGGGGAGGCAGCAGTGGGGCATCTGCGCTGGGGGTCTACACACACTCACCTTCCTTGAACACCCCGCTGACGGAGAAGCAGAGCATTGTTTCCTGAAAGGGAAGAGCCCAGGCGCCCAGTCACCACCTCCACCTCCCACCCACCTGCAGCTTCATGGGCCCGCCCGAGGGAAGAAGCAGGCACTCACCGTCTGGAACCACGTGTCCACCACGAAGGAGCTGAAGTCATGCTGAGTCTTGGGCAACACACAGAGAGTGTGCACAATGACACGT